TTTTCCTTTTTTCTAATGTTGCTGGAAAGGCATCATGATTGGTCTCAGTGTAGAGAGTCTGGGAGGCAAACAGAAAAGTGTAAACCTCGTCAGCTGGCAGCTTGGGTCCTTCAGGTTTTCTGTGATGAGTTAAGATTCCTGTGGACCTCCTGATCCTGAGTCCTGAGAGTGATGTTTTAATCTGCTGAGAACTTGCTGGTTCAAGAGAACTATATCCTTAAAGCCTTGTTGTGAATGCTTTGACTTGGGTCCCCTTTACTGGTGTTGGCTCCTGTCCCCTGCCTCTTTGGACTTCACCTGCTAAATGTCTCATAGCTGGGAACCTCTTCAGTAATCTGCTCTTGGGTTGCTGGAGTCACCTCATTGGGCATGACAGAGGTCAGGCAGAGCCTAGGAATTTGCTTTTTTTTTGGGAGATCCTACGTAAGAACTGCCTGATACAGGGCTACAAAGCCCAGCTCTCCTGCTTAGAGACAGGAGCTCCCATGGTATGGAGCTAAGGCTGAGACTTTACCCGATTGTACTTCATTACCCTTCATGAAGCCATCCCACTTCCATCCCTTGCTGGTCTCTCTTGGGAGCACGTCACTGATCAATCCCTTGGCTTCAGTGACTGCTTCTGAGAGAACCCAACATGACACAGACCTTTTTCCTGAATCCAGCTCTCTTGTTTCATCCAAAAGAATTTAGAATCAAATATGGGTAATACTGTCTAGATGATAGATGAGGAAAACTTTAATCCTTCCATCAGATTCTACGGAAAAAGTACAGCAGCATGTATGTGTTTTATTCCTTGCAGAGTTAAAGGTGTATGCCCCGAGGGGGCTGATATAGGACTTTGTCAGCGATTTAAATCTAGTTTTAAGTAGAGGAAAACTGTAAGAAGTAAGTGCAGCCGTTCATTGAATGCTCATTGTTCCAGATGTTATGCAAAGTATTTGACTTGTTCATTTCCCTTATTCATCCCATTCTCAACATTTAACTGATGAAGTTGGTAAAATCAATAGCCCTACTGTGAAGATGGAGAAACTGAGGCATGGAGCATTTTAGTAATTTACACGATCATCCAGCTCATAGGTTGCTCTACCCCCATCACAAACAGGTATTCCCCAAGCTTCAGGAAGCTGCCAAGCCCCCTTTTTGTAACTTCATGATAATTTGGGATTGACATCTAGGATCAAATCCCCTCTGCAAAATGTCATTTAACTCAGGTAAGACTTCCCCGTAGGGTGAATGTGACCTAGACAAGTGCATTGTCCCCACCGGAGCAAAGAGGAAGACATTTTCCTGTCCCCTGTCTTGCAGGGGTAGGGGTGAAGGTGGGGACTGTCATTCACTGCTCCTCTGAGAACAAAGCATGCCTGACATTGCAGGGAGAGCCCAGGAAGCATTTCAAAAGCTCCACTGGATCTAGACAGCCTTTCAATCCATTTATCAAAGTGTCTGCAGTTCCCGTTTCAAGGTAGATGAAGCAATAATAAATTTGCGAAGAAAGTTAATCTGTGTCCAAAGCATTTTAGTAAATTAAAAAGGGGGGAGTGGTGGAGGCTGGAAGGGGGATATATTGGTTCTTGCCAACTCCTATTTGACTTACTGTCTCCTCAATAAGTCCTCTTTGGTCTTGTGTTTTTGGATGGAATAATCAGTCAGTTAATCATTTTCCAGAAGCTGGAAAATGCACTTTAGCTAATGCAGTTCTCCTTTTCTTTCAGATGCCTAATTATTTAGAAAGACATCCCAATCCTTGGTCCCACTTCTCAACCAAGAAAGCCTTTCCCATCAGCCATCTTCCTTTATTTCCCCTGAAAACCCCCACCCTCAACCCTACTCCAAACTCATACCTTTCTTCTCATTTTTTTAAAGGTCCCCTTCTCTGGTCACTTCTGAGCAGCTCTTCCCTCCTTACCCTGAGCTACTTCCCTCGTAAAGGGGGAGGCACTAATAACCCCAATAAGCAACTGGCCGAAACTAGGCTCTTGGGTATTCAGGATAGATTTTGCTATTTTTATTTAAGTGTCAGTGGAAAATGGTGGCTCTCGTCTCTCTCAAGGATAGTCCTTAACAATAGCCCCATGCTCTGGCATCACGCTGAGATAAACACACTATTAGGAGCCCTCACAAAGGCGCTGCAATAATTGTGAAGGGACAGTTACCGAAAATGAAGCACCCAGCCCTGAACCCTCCTCCACGCCCCATCAGTAACACCATTAAAGCTGTCAGTTCGTCAGCCCACTGGAGGTATTTATGAAATCAATATACAATCCTGCAGATGGATGGCAGGGGTATTGTTAGCCGGAGAAGAGAGGCTCAATGGAAAATAAAATTAATAAAATTTACAAGCAGATTGTCATGGGGAACAGATAAATTCCCTACCATCTACTGTTTTGCTCAATTGGGGCAGGAGAAAAGCAGTGACAGGATGTGGGAAGAAAGTCGTGCTTTTAAAATGAGCCCCTTATAGTAGGGAGGGAGGCTGGGCATATTTACAGCGAGAAAATAGCAGAAAGCAATGCGCTACCCCACTCGAGCACAAGATTTTGTCTGTGTGGGAGGTCTCCCAGCAACACCGCCAGATTTTCCCATTTAAATAGCGCTCTCCCCTTGTCGCAAACCAGAGCGTTTGTACAATTTGCTACTCTTCTCAGCGTGTTTGGGGATGGTGTCTACTCAGAAAGGGTGGTGCACGACTAGAACATATACCCTTTCGTCCAGCTTCCAGCTGTGGAAGCTCTAATCCCCACTCCTATTTCCTTCCTCTGCCCCCCAAGTGTGGTCATCAACCATTTGCCAAAAAGTACAGCTGGAGAAGGACCAGACAGATAGCACGCCCATGTAGGAAGGGGCGAGCACAGGTGAAGACCAGCCTTCCCTGGGCAAAAAAGACTAGGCCCATTGTGGCTGCTGGAGCCTCGGGTGTAGTCCAGATGCCTGGTGGAAATTGCATTAGTTGGATGACAGGACCTGGGCCCCTTGCTCTGGAGGCTGATGGAGAGCAGCCGAGTGCCCTTGGTGACACCGCCTGACCTCTGCTGTCATCGTGGGCTTTGTTCAGTGCCCCGACTCCAGGCTGGAGCCCTGCTCATTGAATCAGGCCTGGCCAGAGGAGCCTGCGACAGGGCTCATTGTGCATTTAAATTTACTTACATCAGTTGCAGACAGAGGAAACAGGATTTGAGACGAGGAGCACCCTGTTATTCAGCCCCAGAAGCCACCGTTGCTCACACCTGCACCCTACCCCAACTCAGAGCCTTGTTTTAATTTAGGGCCTGAATGAGACTCCAGGAAAGCCTTGAGTGTTAGGAATTTTACCAGCTGCTCAGAATACAAAGCTTGTCTCGGTGGAGGGAGCGCAAAAGTACTTCTTTTCTGCTTTTTGTTTTCCTTCCTGCCCCCTTGAAAAATGTTCGTTTCGGCTGCCTGGATTTTAGTGGAGGGTGGTTGTCATATACAGCTTCTGGTTGGGTGCCCTTGGAAAGTCACTACGGGAGTGTCCACAGTGAGTAAGGCAATTCAGCGAGGACCAGTTTACCCCAGGACCAGCAAGTTCTCCTTGTAGGACTTGGTACCAAGGAAATAGCTGGACAAGTATCCTCAAAAAGTACAGGCCGGGAAATTCAAACTATCATTTCTTTAAATGGTAAATAAATAAGTAACTGCCCACCCAACAATTTGGGATCACGTAGCTGCTCACACAACTGGATGATATACGGCCGTTAAGTATTGGCATTGATGTACTGTAATGACATGGACAGATGTTTTCAATATAGGAAGCAAAAATATAGGTTAAAACAGACTACATATTATGAAGTCATATTAGTGAAACTTCTGTGTATTACTCCTAATTGGTAGCAGTGGTTAAGTCTGAGTGGTTAATATTTTTTACCTTAATATTTGAGGGTTTTACTGTGTGTTCTTTTCAAAATAATGAATATGTACATTTATGGATATAACATACATATATAACTTCTATATCTGAAGAAAGCATAAAGAGCCAACTGTGTCCCTAACCCTATCCCTTCCTGCTCCCTTCCTCCACGCCACGTCCTCAGAGGTGTTTTGCCACCGTGGGTAAAGCATGGCCCGTGTGTCTGGCAGGGCCACTTGGCATATTCCTCAGGCCTGATGGGTCTTTACAGATTGGTAACGCACTGAGACCCAAGTGGGCTTGAGGTCTGGATGAAAACAAATATACATGTTTTGTCTGGCAAAAGTAAAACTGGAAAACAAAAACCAAAAAGCCTGCTTCATTCTTAGAGAGGAAATTAAGGCTTTGGGGATGCTTCGAGCCTACGACAGGACTTAGGTTTGAGCCAGCTGCAGGGTCTGATACTCTATCCTTTATTTTCCTCAAAGCTCCACGTTGGTGCTGCTTAATGCTGAATGAGGTGTTGGTGGGACCCCCGTTTTGGATGGGTTTGTTGTAACACCATTTGAATGCATCGTGCCTGTCACTAGGAAGATCCAGGAGGCTCCCAGGGGTCTCTGGGACTCTAGAATAAGCTGAAGTGGTCATCCTTCATCAGAAAATCAGAATGGCCAAGCTGTGTTCCATTCCCAGGTGACAAAAGCGGAGAGGCCTGAGCAGCAAAGGACAGCCCAGAGAGATGGGAGATTGAGTGGTGTTGACCCTGCCTGGAGGGGGAATGCCCTGTGTGTGGTGGGGTGGGGGGAGGAAAGTGGTGGTCTCTGGGAGGTGGGAATTGGGCTGCAGTGTGTGCAACAAACAATCCAGTGTCTTGGCTCCTGGCCTGGAGGTGCGAGACCACCCACAGAGCCCGCCCTGGAGGCAGCTACTCCCGCCTGGTAACCATTTCAGAAAGGCCATCACTTGAGGAACAATGTGAATGCTTGCAGCAGCCTGGGGCCTGAGACTAAACAGTCCCCCAAACACTTTGACGGCAGAGGAAGCCTCCCAGAGGTTTTGTTATCATAATGAGATGCAGATCAAGCTTCAGGCTAGCCCGTCTCTAACGCAGTGTGCCTCTTCTCTTCTTGTTTAGAGATCTGAGTGAAAACCAGATCCAGGGGATTCCGAGGAAGGCATTTCGTGGCATCACCGACGTGAAGAACCTGTAAGTGCTGTTTTCTTTGCTTCCTTACTGATGCGCCTAACTCAGGCTCTCTCTGACCAGAGGGGGGACGAGGGATGGGGCATGAGGGCTTTGCTTAAGTGGTTTCCAGGGAACCCATGCTGGATGCCACGGCAGCCTCACAGGACCCCGTTCTTCTCTGGTTCTCCATCCCCAGAAGTGAGCATTAGAGACCCAGTGCTCACTGGGCCAGAGCCTGGCCATCGAGGCTCATCGAGGTGCAAGTCACCTTTTCCTAGCATCATCCTCATTTTCTGTCAAGTGGGGATGATAGCTTTGTTTGGGGGCATGGTGTGCAACTGACAAAATGTTAAAAAAGGGGAAAAAAGCCTTAGTGCCTTATACATAATAAGTGTTCAATAACAGGACCTCCATCAGCTCCTAAGAGAACTCTGGGATTAGCATCCCAGAAACTCAGAGAGACGCAGCCAGACCCATTTCACTGCACTAGGTGTGTTTTGCTTGTTTGTACTTTTTATTTTGAAATAATTTTTGATTCACAGGAAATTTCAAAAAACAGCAGACAGGTCCATGTACCAGTTTCCCCCAATGGGCACATGTCGCATAACTACAGCGTCAGTGCCAGGAAACTGGCATCGGTACAGTCTGCAGATCAGACTCTGCAGACTGCACAGTCTTGTGTGAGCGGGGGTGTGGGCAGCTCTCTGCGGATTTTGTCACATGTTAGATTCACGTACCCATCACCACAGTCAAGAGGCAGAACTGTTCCATCACTACATTCGTGAACGTGCCAAGTAACTGTGATCATTTCCTACCTGGCATCCTCTATTTGCTCCTTATCAGGGAGCGACTCCTGGGCCCTCACTGTCACAAGGACTGTGCCTTGTATTTTCTACCCAAACAACTGCCAGTGGGGGCAGAGCGAGCTTTTGGAGAGAAGTCCAGAAGAAGGTCTGGGCTGGCTGAGCAAGCCCTCTGCCTAGCAGCCTCCTCTACAGCCCCAGATTGGATTTGAGAAGTCTGGAAGGAGGGCTTTTTTTTTTTTTTTTTTTTT